CGTTTGGTGGGTCCAGCGCTCCGAAGTCCCATGCAGCTGTCACGGCCTTTTTTGCAAAGGCTCTGAAATTCCTTCTGCTCCAGTGGAATTCTGGGTGTTTGGCTCTTCTGGAATATCAGGCCCCGTCTTCCTAATCTTGCCTTGTAAAACTCTGCTTGTGGCTTTGGTTTTACTTTCTAAGATCTTGTGCTCATCCCTGAAGGTGGTAGCTGCATCCCATGCCGCTATCTCTGGGGTCTGCATATGCAGTATCTGGAGCTCTCCCTCTCTAGCACGTCAAACTAGGACCAGAAATTTAAAAAAACCCAAACAAACAAAAAAAAAACCCGTGAAAATTTCACAGGGCTGCTGCCTTTCTGACCTGAGAAAAGTGTGTGGGCAGTGAGAAGCCACATTTACACTAGACAGTGGTGCATAGCCAGTTTACTGGTAAAACAAACCCAGCAGCTAGTTTACAGGAAAGCACAATCCAGGAATGCAGGTCTGCTGCACACAGCCAGTGGCTGCCTGCTGCTATTTATCATTGTATTTCATACAATGCTGTATTATGCAACAGCTTTATTATGCAGAAGGCTCTCCTGCCAACTTTGATGAATGTTTCAGATGGTCCTTGTGCTAGGAGCTGTACCCAGGCAGGATTAAAAAAATCCACAACTTTATCCTAAAGAGCTTGCAGCCTAAATAAATGAGGGAAACTCAAGTTGGAGGTGGGAGCAATGCAACTTCCATAGTGGCTCAGAAGCTGAGTGGGGATTAGAACCCACTGCACTTCCATTTTAGTGCCGCATGTTAGCCATTGACTGGGGTATCGCTCCTACTAAGCTAATTATTGCAGCCCAAAGGATTCTTGTGCCTGCTAATGAGTCTCCTGTCTCTTGAGACGTGTCTCAGCTTGACTCTAGGGCCCTACCTGGTTGTGACCTGCTCTGCGGTCGATTCAGTTTGGAAGCCACAGTCCTGCACTTCCAGATCTGATGCTAATACTGAGTGACTGCAACCTTTGCTTTGCTATTGCAACTATTGCTGAAGGATCTGACCGAGGGGTGTGTGGTTGTTGTTTTTGTTTTGTTTTGTTTTTTATGGCCAAGGATCCAAGCCCTATCCTGGGCTTTTCTTTATCCAGTCTCATACCCTCGCCCTGGGCACGTACATATGCAGGAATGAACAATTGTTGGCTTTCAGAGGCCTTATCCCAAATTACAGACTTTCCAGTCACCTGCCAGAGAGTATCCCAAATTACAGACTTTCCAGTCACCTACCAGAGAGGCAGTAACAAAATATAGGACTATGTAGCACTTTAAAGAGGCAGTAGTGAGCAACAGTCATAAACGTGGTACAGCAAGACACTGAGTGGCTGTGTAGTGTGCTGCCACCCAGTGTGTGCCCAATAACTACACCCTTTTGTGCCCAGCGGTTCCCAACCTTTTCCAGATGGGGACACATTTTGACAATTCAGGAAGACTTGGTGACCCAAGGCAATTCAAAAATGGGGGGAGGAGAGGGGCAGAGCCACCTGGGGAGACACTGGGCGACCCTTTTGAATGTAATGGTGATCCATATTTGGGTCCTGACCCATAGGTTGGGAAACCTTGCACTAAACCAATTCACTGCTTTGATCCCAGAGGCCGTGTGGATGGGGACCCCACTACTTTATCCCCTGTGGACGTTCTACTGTGCTCATCCCTCTGCAAGTTGCTTTGTAGAGAGCACACTAGGCTGGGATTCTGGAAACCTGGGTTCTATTCCCAGCTCTGCTACCGGTGTCTTGGGTGACACCTGTGGGTTAAGTTGCTGTACTGCACAGAGCCTCAGTTTTCCCATCTGGATAATGGGAATAATGATGCCAAGTTCCTTTGTAAAATGTTTTGAGTTGGGCTGATGAAGAGTGCTGTATAAGGGCTAGGTCTGACTGTTAACCTGCCTGCATTTAGATCATGTAAGTCTTCTGGAAAGTTCCAAATGCATAACAGGCACGACTGTAAATAGCAGTGACTCAGTCACCTGTGTCACCAAAGAGACCCCAAGGCAGCATTAGTACTTCCATGCTTTCGTCAGGACAGTCCAATAGGAGGTAATACCGTTCCAAACCAGTGAGCTGGTCAGAAATAACCTGCTCCACAGAGGACTGGGTTGTATGCCCCCTTATCATCTAAGCTCATGCATAGTTCTGTTTGCCCTTCAGTATTTGATACACCCTCTCTCTGGGTTTGCCAGCATCTTTCATTTATGGACCCCTAAAATATTTCAAATGGAGGTGCGGATCCCTTGGGAATCTAAGAACTGCACCACCCAGGATCTGCAGACCACAGACTGAAAACCAGTGGATTAGATCTCTTTTTTTTTTTTTTTTCCTCATCTGTAACTTCTATGACTCTTCTGTATGCAAGTTGCTGCATTACATCATGTAGACAGAAAATATTTCCAGTGGAAACTTGAAGAGACATTAAAGAGGGACTAGAAATATGTTTGTTTTTCCTTTTAATTATAAATCTGATTTTCCTTCGACTGCTCAAAGCTCATGCTTTAGTTTAGGCATGTTTTGGTTAATGTAATTCAGATAGACTAAATTGCTTTGAGGTGTTTTTTTGTTTAGAAGTCTTTGAAGCTTATGTCTGCCCTCTGGGGGTGTGTGACATAAAAACAATGAGAAATCTCTTTTGAGGTTTATTTTATGTTAGGAAAAACACAAGACACAAATAACAATATTTCTTTTGTGTTTTCTTTGAATTTCAGTGACCAAAATAGTGACTTTTGTAGCAAAATCAAGATGGTCAGGCACTGGAAGCTTTGGTGTTTGGAGTCCAACTTAAGTTTTATTCTTTACTTCAAGGCAAAAAAAAAAAAACTATTTAGAGGCAAAGATCCCATCAAGACCATATGCTCCTTATTTCGGGTGCTGTACAGAGTTCCAGGAAGACACTTCCCACTCTATGGAACACAGTCTGAATGTAGACCACATGCTCTAAGTGGGTGTAACCACCAAATGGAAAGAATAGAGAGGGGAGGCTGAGGGTAACCACAAGAACAGGAAGTCCTGGGGCAATATAGACCAGCTGCATGCATACACAGTTGCAGATGGAAAGTAACTGGTCCTATCTCCATTATTTTGTAGTCTATTTGGGTGAAGATAACTATTGTAGGCAATTGTCTTTTTTTTTTTTTTTTTAAAGTGGCTTAAAGGATCACTTAGGAAATCATAGAATGCTAGACCTGGAACGGACCTGGAGACGTCATCAAGTTCAGTCCCCTGCCCTCATTGCAGGACCAACCACTGTCTAGATCAAGGATGTGGAACCTCAGGCCCAGAGGCCAAATGCGGGCCCCCCCCCCCCCCCCCCGCTTGCCTAGATCCAGCCCCCAAGGCTCAGGGCCCCCACAGTATTGGGGAGCCCACACTGGTGCTCTAGCCCACCCCACTGCCTCACCATGGGGTTGGAGCACGCAAAATCTACTAGGCTGGGCCCCCCTCCGCTCTGGTGTGTGAAGGGAATGTGAAAAGTGTCTTTCTGCTTCTCTGCCGGGGGCCACGTCAGTGAGGAGTTTTTGTTTTTGCTTCTTACTTGTATGTGGCCCCTGACTGATTTTTTTTTTTTTTTTTTCCCGTGGGTCAGTGGCCCTCAGCCCAAAAAAGGTCCCCCACCCCTGGTCTAGATCATCCCTGACAGATGTCTGTCCAACCTGCTCTTAAATATCTCCAGTGATGGAGATTCCACAGCCCTCCTAGGTAATTTTTTCTAGTGTTTAACCACCCTGACAGTTAGGAAGTTTTTCCTAAAGTCTAACCTAAACCTCCATTGCTGCAATTTAAGCCGATTGCTCCTTGTCCTATCATCAGAGGCTGAGAAGAACAATTTTTCTCCCTCCTCCTCCTTGAAACACCCTTTTAGATGCTTGAAAATGGCTATCCTTTCCCCTCTGACTTCTTTTTTCTAAACTAAACAAGCCCAATTCTTTCAGTCTTCCTTCATAGGTCAAGGTTTCTAGACCTTTAATCATTTTTGCTGCTCTTCTTTGGACCTTCTCCAATTTCTCCACATCTTTCTTGACATGTGGTGCCCAGAACTGGATACAGTCCTCCAACTGAGGCCTAATCAGTGCAGAGTAGAGCGGAAGAATGACTTCTCGTGTCTTGCTCACAACACTCCGGTTAATGCATCCCAGAATCCTGTTTCCTTTTTTTTTCTGCAACCATTTCTCAAGTTTGTCCAGATCATTTTGAATGATGACCCTATCCTCCAAAGCACTTGCAACCCCTCCCAGCTTGGTATCATCTGCAAATGTAATAATCGTACTTTCTATGCCAATATCGAAATCATTGATAAAGATCTTGAACAGACCCCTGCGGAACCCCACTTGTTATGCCCTCCCCGCATGTATTAGGAATGTGAAAAATGTGTGCAATTAAGTAACTGTGTAACTGCTGAAAATTCCAGCAGTTACAACTGGGGCGACAGACAGGTCCCCAGGAGCTGGTGCTTGTGGGGAGCCAGCTTTTAAGCTGCCTCTCCACCAGTACTGG